TTTTGGGTTATCCGGGGGCCCCCGGAAGAGAAAATCCAGAAAATTTGTGGGTGCCCACAGGCAGCATGCCGGGAACCTTTAAATGGGGCGGTCCCCCGCCGGGGGACCCCCCCTTCCCCAGAAAATTTGGGGTTTCGGAGGGTTTTAAAGAATCCAGTAGGCGGTGGGCCCCCCCTTTGGATTAAAATTTTGGGCGGGCGTTGGGGGATGGGGTTCAGGGTTTTGGTTTTTTTTTTTTTTTGGAGGGGGGAACCCTGCCCCCCCCCCGGGCCCGGGGAAAGAGGTAGGTTTCCGGGGGAAAATTTGGGAAGGTTCCCCCCCCGGGGGGGGGGGGGGCGGCAAGCAGGCCTCATCCAATCCAACGCTTACGTTATGTGATCGACAACTGTCAAGCGTACAGCAGTTATACCAGAGTCCATTCACCAGCAGGAAACCACTAGCAACAGCTGCACCATGTCCGCTTGCTGCACCAATCAACCCTCCTTCGACTCCCACGATCGCAGCTGCTGTTTCCTCCGCCCATGTCACCTGACTCCCCCCTCGCCGTACTCTCCGCCACCAAAATACTCCCGACCGAACCTCTCTGCAAAAGTACCACAGAGGATTCCGAGAACAGGTGGAGAAGTGGCCGGTGCATCCGCTGGACATCATTATCGACTGGCTGAAGAAGTACCCGAAGGCGCGAGTGGCCGACTTTGGCTGCGGGGAGGCGCGTCTTGCGGCGACGGTGCCCAACAAGGTGTGGTACTGCTGCAGGGGCCCAAAGGCATTTGCAATGTGTTGCCCGTCATCGTTAGGTATCCATCTGTGTCTTTTCGCCCGCGTGTTTCTAGGGGAGCCGAAGTCATGTTACGTTATTTGTCGTATTTCCGTAGAGTCGCAGTTTTTGGTCACTGGCGTCGCACAGGATGATTCGGCTTTGTCGACTCCTCTCCTTGTTCCCCAACCTCGCGGCTCCTTTCTCGCAGCCAACAATGAAAAGCAACATTGTTGGCGTCGCCCTGCACAGGTGCCATGAAAAGAGGTTCGCACACTGAATTCGTGTGCTGTGTTGAACATTGTTGTCTCCCTGCTTTCATTCGGATTTTTATGCGCCCCTCCCCTCCCCGTCGACTTTCTGGTGATTTTTCCTCGACAACACGGCAGGTGCACTCGTTCGACTTGGTGTCACCGAATCCGCTGGTGACCGCGTGCGACATGGCCAACGTCCCGATCAAGGACGCCTCGGTTCACGTGGCCGTCTTCTGCCTGTCGCTCATGGGGACTAACCTAGCGGACTTTTTGCGCGAGGCTCATCGGGTGCTCGTCCCGGGGGGGCTCGTGAAGGTGCACAGGGTGGAGGGGGTGGGGTGTAGACTACATGTTAGGTCTCCTCGGTGTTGTGGTGGCTGTCTCCTGTCTGCTGTCGTTGCTGTTGAATGTCGTCGTTGTCTTTGTTGTCATCGTTGCTGATGACGGTGTTGTTGCGGTGTTCTTTGATTGTTTTCTATCCGATATCCGGATTTGTTTTTTGCGCGTGCGTGGTTTCTCGGGGACAACCCGTACCCTATGCGGGCCAATACCCTTTGCGGGCCAATTCCCGATGCGACAAGCCATGCCCTATGCGGGCCAATGCCCTATGCGGGCCAATGCCCGATGCGGGCCAACCGAAACGCTCTACCCAACCATTCCTCCGTGTGACTTGCAAACCAAGGTGGCCGAGGTGAGGAGCAGGTTCGAGGGAGAGGAGGGCGGGGTGGAGCGTTTCTTGGAGGTGACGAGGCGTCTTGGCTTCGACACGAGGCAGATGGACCGCTCCAACAAGATGTTCCTCCTCGCGGAGTTCAAGAAGTCCGGCCGGAAGCCGGAGAGGGGTGTTGAGTTCGAGGCGAAGGTAAAACCGTCGCCGTCGCTGACTTTTTCTCTTCACAGGAGTGCGTGTGTGTGTCTGTTGTTGTGTTTTTGTCTTCACATGTTTCTGTGTGTCTCTAGAGTTGGGATTGACCGCGCAAACCGGCTGACCAATGAGAAGACGTCAGTCTCAGTGCGACTGCAAACAGAAAACCCTTACGAAGGCCATGATCTGGGACCCCCGAGGGGGAGGCTAGGCTGATCTCCGGATTGAAGGCAGACACATGTGTGTGCGTGTGTTGGTTTCTCTCGTTAGCATCGACCCTGCTATCCGGACGGCATACAAAGAGGCGTAAGCTTTCAAGCTGGAAAGATTGCGCTAGCACGATGCCTTGTCGTGGCGCGCTCGCGTTTGTGTGAGCCTCTTTGGTTTGCACCGGCCGTGCTAACGGGCTAACCCATGAAGCGTTGTCAGTCTTTTTGCAGCAGGCATCAGCGCCCACACGCTTTTCTAGCGTGTCAGCGTGTATGGTGTTTGTCTGCATCCCAAGTTAGCGAATCACAAAACGTTCGGCAGCATCCGTGGCAGGCCAAGATTTGTGCGATCCCCCAAGCCCTGTTTTGTTCCTCGTCTGCTTTGAAGTCGCGGGCGTCGACCTAGAACTTGTTTTCCCCCTTCTTGTGGTATTATTATTCAGAATGTTCGACTGAGCTTCCGAATTGAACGTTACATTCGAAGGTATTTTCGAGCCTTGATAATGGGGTGACGAAGGAGGGATGCAGATTCCCGGGGGCACCGGTGCTGGGTATTTCGCCGATGGAGTTCGGGTGCATTGGGAGCTACGGTAGACCCTCCCCGTATTTATGCATACATCGTAATATTTTCTTGGCGGAGGCGGTGCACTTTGTGCGTTATCCCCAGTAACCGTAACGCCCGTCACGTCCCTCCCGATATACCCCGGCGCATGGTTGCTTCGAACTTCGCGACACAGGCCTGCATATACAAGCGACGATAGGGACGGGCTTTCGGAGAGCGTAGCAGCTCCGTCTGGGGTGTGCCAAGCGTTCTCGGTTGGGAAGTGCTGATGTGTTGCCGACGTAGAAGGAGCTGGAAGCTGGAGGTAGTGCTAGACAAGGGTCCATTGCTCCGATCAAGGATGTTGGAATTCTTGTTCAGCCTCGGCATATTTGTTGGCCGCCGTCTAGAAGTGAGGAAGTTTTCACGACTCTGTATCGATTTGATCGTCGGAGTAGATTGGTTCTTGTATCGGTGCCGCCGCCGGGGAGGTTGTTTCAGCGGCGACGGGCCTGCGTGAGTGCGTGGAGGCCATCCAGTACACGGCAGATTCTTTAGCAAGGGTTTTCCGGTGCATTCCACGGGCGTTATCATTGAGGGGTGATTATATCACCGATATTTGCTAAGAAACATGCGAACCAGGTCCAAGGTGCTTGCACACGAGGGGTAACCACCGTCGAGCAGCTAGCCGCAACAATAAGCAATTGTCAGCGCCATGATGGCGGGGTGCTGTGTATTCGTTTCGTGCTTTCACAGCAAGTCTCGTCTGGCATGTTCCCCCGCAGAAACGACAATCCCGTCGTATAAACGCGACATTCATTGCCCAGGCCAAAACCTTTCATGCAGCGTGCGCACGCAACATTGCCCAGGCCAATGCCTTTCATAGCGCGCACATCCACGTGCTAGTCAACTGCAAGAGAAATTCGCCGATTCACAGCATGCGTTCCAGCTGAAGCTAGGTGAGATACGCTCCTCCCTAACCAAGCCCCGACCGCATTGAGCCGACGCCCCCAGCCGGTCTAGCGCCCCCCCTGGTGATGGCTCCAAAGTGCGACGGCGTCGCTTGGTTTGGGCACCGGCGGGTCTACTATCTCTTCTCTCGGCTGCCCCGTCAAGATGTTGTATCCGCACCTGTCGTCCAGAGCGAGAGAGAAGCAAATCTTGTATGCGATGTAAACTGGCAGACATTTCCAGCTGACGTGGTGGGAGCGCATCAGATATACTCTGGGACTCACGTTTATGTCAGAGGTTCGATTGCAGGAAGTCTGCTAGTTTTGGTCGTTGTCACGACGGGGAAGACTAACGATGGACCCCCGGCACAGGTTTGCCTGGACAATAAATGTCAACACGGTTGAATACTGCTGTCTCTCTTGAGTACCAAACCCGAAGAGGCGACACCAGCTGCTACAACTGCCCACGTGTTATCCCAACTTTTTCGAGGGGTCGTCAACATAGCAACGTGGTGCCGCTCACCTCGAGTCCCCAAGGCGGGTTAGATTGTTGGATCTGACCTGAGCCCTGTGCTTGGTGACGTTGTCGGCGTACTCTAGCCGGTCCCCGTCAAGGCCGTCATTGTACCTGTAGCCGAAAAAGTGTTAAGTGAGAAGGAAGGCGGCTTACAGTAGGGGTTTCAGGACCGGGGTAAGGGTGGGAAGGCCTAGGGAAACAGCGCCGATACAAGGCACCCGCGGATACTCCCCGGTGCAACCCCTGTAGGCAGGGTACTGTTGGTGATCTGTCCTAGTTGTTTCATGTTTTGGAAGCATGGAAGATTAACCACAGCAGTTCCGAGGAAAATATGCGCCGCAACTTTCGGGTACTGTTTCGTATGGCGTCGTCCCGGCATGGGGATGGCAGTTTCCGGTTCCATCTTGGTTTTCTACTACACTTGTAGGCATCGCCTGACTCCGTGGGGGAAACACACGGGGGTTCGCATCTCAAGGTGGGTCGAATGATCACGAGCGTGTTGCTCCCGCCTGAACTGCTTTCGGCGCGCCCACGGTTGTTTGAACACTACGCAGAATGTGCCTCGAGAAAACATATTGAGCGTGAGATTGTCTCAACGTAGCCCACTTGCACCGGCAATCAAGGGCGCCAAGAATGGTACTAGGCAATTTTTTATAGTTTCCAGATGATCTGGTATGTTGACGCCGTGAGCGAGCGTGGTATACGAGACTGGAAATAATCGACGAAAGGCACCTGGGCTGGCGTGTTCCTATCCCACCCTGCTGGCGGTCCTTGTGTTAATTGCTCACCTGAGGCTGATCATGTTGTACGGCACCCCCGATTTGTTTTTCTTGCTCTTTTCCCCCTCATCTCGAAGCCGGTTCCACCTCTGCTCGTCGTCCCCTTCCTTTTTCTCCATGTCTTCCCAACGTTTCCCTTCTCGTTCCACTCGCAACTGATGCAAGTTATGGTGTTGTCCGAAACGTCAACGAGAACAACGGGGGTGGCCAATGTTGTTGGAATGATGTCGCCCACGCCCCGCGAACCCCGGCGCTCACGTAGAGCACCAAAACGGTGTGGCTCATGGCAACATACACACACGTGCAGTGTCGTTTAACCGGACCGGAACACGAGAAATAACCGCAGAATGAAGGCGCTCTGCAATCTCCTCCTCTGGTTGTGACCGACTGCAGGGTCACCTAAATAATGCAGTGCCGGAAAACATTCATGCACATAAAGCGGGGCGCTGTCTCAATGCTCGAAACGCGTTGATGATATTCTTCATACCTGCCTGCGGTTGTCGTTTATTTGGACCTTTCTCTCGTGCTGCGCCTTTCGGCGTAGGTGCTCCTCCCCGACCGTGTCCGAGTGAAACCGATCAGCATCTACGTGGGAGCATCCGGAAATCGACGGTGGAAGTTGTGGTGACAACGGCAAGTATTTGTAGATCAGGAAGGGTTGTACAATGGAAATCTGGAAGAGCGCTGAATATACTGGTATGCCCCGTTTCGGTGCGGACCGCTGCCCAGCGAACGCCGAGATTCCCGCCTACTCTGTGGGCTGCGGCACCCATTGTTTCCTTGTGGTCGGGGCAATCCACGAAGCACGGCGTTACTCCGAAAAATGTTAAACTACGTAGCTCTACATACCTTGCCATGGTTAAACTACGTAGCTCACTTCATCGTCAGCAAATTGTGGGCTCAAGATCGCCAAAAGGTTCCCGACATTGAAAAAAGTTGCCTCTGAGACCACCACCCTCCCCCTCCTGTCTTCCAGTGCGTGTCCACCCACCAGCAATGAAGCCAGCCGCGTCAGGTGTGCACTCGGTGAGCGAGACCCCTTCTGGCGGGAGGTTATCGCGATTCATCTTAGCTGCTTGCCCTGCCCTCTGCGCACACCAACGTCGTTGCCACAAGCGTTTTGGGTGAGCCGGGTTTGACATGTGGTATTACGGAATCTGCTGTATTTTGCGCAACAGGCATTAGAGGGCTTTGGCGCTAGGCACTCATGAGGCGCATTCATAGACCATAAACATATCCACCGTACGAAATGAGTGGTATGCATATCGCTGCTGTGGTACCTTTTGCAACGTGAAAACAAGATGATCGCACAGACAGGTGGCGGCTGCTTGTCGGTTACCGTGCTGGCTGTTGTATGAAAATATGTTCGGAAAGATTGATCGAATATCACGCGTGCGGGTCGGGTTGTCGACAGTCAAATGTTTCCGTGGCACATTGAGCATGTTGCGCGATAGCCGACTGCAGTGCATGAACACCCAAGCTTTGCAGTCTAGGAATGGTGGGAATATGTTATACCGACGCGTGGGTTCTTGTTTTGGCATGTGCAGTGTGAGTGGATGTATCCATCTATGGGCGAGCGCTTTCATTGGGTGTTAAGAAGGTCCTACTTGGGCTCAATGTTACAGTAGTGACGCCATTGTGTGATTGTAGTTAGCATCTGTTCGACGCTTGCGTACAATGCATGTGTATGCGGACGTGTGCGAACGCGGATATATGATTTGCAGCAGATAAGTAGCCACCTCGGAATGCGGCCCTGGCTCACCTGCATCAACCTTCCCTTTTCGAGCGCAACCTTGTCTTTGAGCGCCCTCCGCTCTGGTCTTGTCATCGGCTTGATGTTCCGCTGAGATAACAGGTAGAAGAGTAAGGTAGGGTGGTATATAGCACGCTAGAAAATAGATATGGATTCTGTTGACAAATAATGCCGTGTGCGTGACTATACGTCGAAGACAATACTCAAACACGGGCGAGCCTGGCGTTTGGCCGGCACGCGAAACCAAACATTTAGGAAGGATAGCAGACTTACGAAACCGAAGGCGCTCTCTGGTAGCTCCATGGTAGTCACGGGGCGTTGAACCTGAAGATTGTATATACTACCGTCTAGCGTAATTGGGGCTCCATCAGGATTCGTCGAAGCACACCAATATCTCCTGTTGTGTAGTCGGCGAAAGTGGCGGTTTCACGTTTTTCTTTAGAGATCTGGAGGGCAATTCCGCCGCACCAACTCCTCTTGCTGGCAGTCTTGTCTTGTCCGAATCTCTGCCTTCTTTGCACTTTGAATTTGCAAACAAACGCGTGCACACCCAAGAAAGTGCAAAAAGGTTGCACTGCTATCCGTACCCTCCCGAACCCTCATCTATATGTCGGTTGTAGGGGCACGGGGGCAAGCCGCACCCAATCGGAGTGTTGATGTGTGCGTTCCGTGAGCAGACTGTTGATTGTTCCTCCTTGAAATTCGAAATGTCGAAAGTGAAGTTTTATTGGGAAACACATCACACATCCTAGACTATCGTTTGTACAAGAGATCTCTGCATTCTTCTTGTGTGGCAGCTTTGCCACAAGGTACACGGTGACGCATGTTGGCTTTGGCCAATGAGACATGTGGCAAGATGTGAAGGATGTATGCATACGCATTATTGATTTTGCTTTGTCCGGGCTGAACTCTCGCAGATGAACAAGAAACGTGAACCCTTGTTTCATTCGGTCTTTACGTACATCATTCGGAAGTCTCCCGCGAGACGGGTTTCTCAGAACGTTATTGTGCCGAAAATAGCCTCTGCTAGCCCCGCGGCATGAAAGCTAAACTACACGCCCCCCGGTTCTGCTGGTCCGGTGTTGCCGGTATCAGGTGTGCACATTTAGTATGTGGGTGCTGCCAGGATCATCGCCGGCCGATTTCAGTCCCAACTGGTTTCTACTGCTGGAGTCAAGCGTGGCGTAAACACGACGACAAACTTGTCGACAAGTTTGTCGGTCTGCTAGATACTCAACGTGCTGTTGTCGCGTGTCCGTGTGCGTGCTTCGTGAGCGCGGTTTTGTGGACCTTGGGAATGGTCGACAACCGCAAGGGAGAGGTTCCCGTCCATTTCTCCAAGAACCGAACCGCACGAATGTGGTGTCGAAAGAACTGGGGTGACGCGGCAACAACTCGATTCTCGCCGCAGCTACATATTAGGAAAATCAAATACACACACAGAAAAACTAAATACCCGTTCGAGATATACCCACAGTCGAACGGAGCTATGTAGAAGCGACCAATGACACGGCCGCCATCAAGACTATATTCAACTCACACACGAGGTTTTCTCCTGTTTGCAGCCTCGACCAAGCGATTGCATCGTTCACCACTATGTACAAAGACATTGCTGACACCGCTAAATATCGAAAGAGGGATCGTGTCAACTCTCACTACGAAAACCCACAACGGCCTCGATTCTGACCAGTTCCAAAACCAACACTTACGATTGAAATCGACCCTACTCTGATCGAGCGTGGGTGGCAACGACGCCTCGGTACCATTATTGCACGAAACCATGATGAAGTAAAAGAGAATAGACTTGTTTTTAGTGCTTCCACCCATCCAAGCCTAGTATCCAGCTGGATTTCTCCCCCAGTCACTGCACAAAGACTTTCATTTAAAAAGAAACGGTATTATTTTCTCAAACGGCAGCAACATTTCTAGAAGGCATTTACGGCAACTCCAGCCGGTACAAATCGGGCCTCTTCTGGAGGGAAACGGGGATGCTCGTTCGAACCTCCGCCACCCGGCCGACGTCTACCTCCGCCACCAACATAGCCTCCTCGTGCTCTGTTGTCGCGACAACGGTGCCCCATGGATCGACGATTGAACTGTGCCCCCAAGCTTGGTATTTGGAGTCCGGGTTTCGAGCGGGAGATGCAGTCACCACGAAGCACTATTGAGTGTCCGCGCCCCGGGATGGACCACGGATTGCAAACGAAAAAACGAGGGTAGGGCAATGCGTGCGGGACGTGGGGTAAAAAACCGAGCCAAAACCAGGATGTGAAACGACCTGCTGAGAGATAACTGGATCTGGCACAACGCGGTTTTAATCTGACAGGACATCCATCAGCAATGTCCAGCACTATCTATGTACCTTGCTGTGACAGCGCAGCACGTGGGAAATACTAAAGGAAATATGTGTTGGGTGGCGCGTGCCTTCGTCCTTCGTTGCCGTAGATGCCCCGGCGCTCCTAAGACACAAGGGAACCGGAAGCCTGCCCTCGTCGCAGGAAAAATGAGTTCCGACTCGACGGTTTCGTGCTAACCCCCGCCTGTGAACTGCACCGCAGGAATGTTTCGACCAACCAGAAACCAAACCTGCGTGCCTTTTTCCTACCTGGTTGTCTAGAGCACGAGCCCTTTGCAAGAGTTCCCAGTGTGCCGGCCCGGTGGTCATGTTGAAAGCCCCCGGAAAGCACAGCAGTACGCTTCCCGCCGCCCGCATGGCCATGCTGAGCTCCGGAAAGCGCATGTCGTAGCAGATGCCCACCCCAATCGTGCCGAAGGGGGTCTCCACCGTGGTGATGGAGTCGCCTGGACTCAGCGTGTCAGATTCTCTACGAGAGGGAGACGGGGGAAGATTTCGGGGGCATATAGAACGATCGCAGAGTTCTGTGCTGCTGTTGGCGTGGCGGTGTGGTCAAAGCGTAGGGTGTGATGGGGGCACACAATCAAGGCAAAAGCGACTTTCCAGGGTCCTGATTATCCAACGCCACACGTGCAAGGCCACCGGACAAAAAAAAGAAAACACTGCAATGCAAACCAATGTCGTGGGCGCAGCAAGGCGGGGAGACACGCAAAAAACACGCGCGCCACCGCCCGCGAGAGGGAGCCCAATAAACAACGCTCGTGAGCAGAGCGCGACGGCTCTCACTTGAACGTGATGCCCCCGGGCACGTCGATGTCGAACAGGTGCACCTTGCGGTGCTTGGCCACGATCCTCCCGCTGGGTCCTACGACGATACACGTGTTGTAGACCCCGCCGTCTTTCCCCGCCTCCGGCACGGAGCCCCCGACGAGCCACACCTTGTTCTCCGCGGCGGCGCGGCAGAGCATGGCGGCAGAGGGGCTTTGCTCCGCCGACGGCATATCTGCGGCGGTTTCATCACCCTGAGGGTCGGGCACCGGCTCGGCGTAGACGGGGAAGGACGCCGTGTCGTATGGGCCGTTCCAGCACTCTGGCAGGACGACAACCTTGAGCGGGGGCAGGATGGGGGGCGGTTGTGTCTGAGAGGGCCGAACATAATGTTTTGGAGGAGGTCTGGGCGGCCGGCCGGCAGGCCGGCCGATTTACGTTCGTGCATCTCGCCAATATCCAGACTAGATCAGATTTTAAACGGCCACGGTGCGATCGAAGACCTTGAATCGTGGCTGACGCGGCGTTTGTGAGTGCAGTTCGCCGTGCACGTGCCTCCTCGTGCGATGTTTTCTTCTATATTCGGATTGGGTCGAGGTGAAACGCGGTTTGAAGCGGGGTTTGCTCTACATAAACTCACCCTTTGGTGTTTCCCTCTAAAATTTCCCCCGTCATAATCAGCAATAGACCGATTCCGCCAGAACCAGGGGGGCACACTATATGCAAGACATACACAACGTGTGTTTTTTGTTGAATATATCGTTATAGCACGTGTCTCGTAGGTGCAATACTGCAGCTCTTCCTCGTCCTTTACGAGAAAATTGGGCCATGAGACCCATCTGTTTGTCAAAAACTTGGGGCCAAATTGTTGATGTTGGGCCGAGACTGGCCCAAGACTGGCTGTTTCACTGTTTACGGTGACAGCATCTTCCGTGAGATCTTGGCCAAGATATGTCCAGGTATGTCCAGGGCCTAAACGTTGACCTTCCGAACGAATCTTGCCCCCAAGATGCGTCAATTCGAGCTTGTCGACAAAAATCGTGGAAGCAACTGGTAAGTCTTGGTGGGTGCGGCGAAATTACGATTGTTCGTTTAGCTTGTCCATATCGCTATGGAATCTGCACGTGGCACATTCGCAAGGGCCTCTAACGCACCCTGGCTTTACTGTGTCGACGCCCCGGGTCCCGACAGCGTAGATAAACGACCAAGGCGCGCGAAAAGAACAAAAAGTTGCCCTGGCTCATACCGCGTGTGTCATCAACAGAGGGCACACATATCTAAATTGAGAGTGGACAACACCCATGTACATCTCTCGCTCCGTAGTTGTATCATCGAGGCCAAACCTTTGATGCTGCCACCTCCACTAACTCTTCTACCCGGATGCACGTGAGGTGGTTGTGGGGTTCTTCTTTTCAGAGAAAAATTCCTCCCTGGTGACACGAACCGTTCCCTGATCCTTTGAGGAGCAGTTCAGAAAGTACTCTACTATCAACAAGATAACAGAGCGGGAGGAACTTTTTTCCAACACAGCTCCGTCGTGCGCGACGCCTCTTTCTCCTCGTTTTCTGCTCTTTTGCTTGTTGTTTCGCACAAACAGGCCACGTCATGGAATCACCCCATACCCAATCCGCTTGCACCCGAAATAGACCCGTGAGTGTAGATGACCTCGCCGAAGGTTTTACTTCCATCCGCTTACTGCGTAGCGAGATACGCGCACGGTTGATTGCTTTCGGCTGTCGGGTCGAAGTACATTCTTTCCGTTAGAGTTGGCATCGCCATGGAGCAACAATGCTTCCCTTCACGAACAGACCCTCGCCAACGTCTTCTATTTTTGCACCCCAGGTGGGCGCCCACCGCTAGTACCCACCAGCAGTGTTGATGCCTGTATAAAGCTGTGGGAAGGACGACGCCAGTCACGACTGGCTGCGTCATGCTCGGTTTCATCACACCGCGGTATGTTTTGTCGACCAAGTGACCCCGTTGTGTCGTTTCATCAACTTCAAGGAGACGAGAGGAACAAAAACACCGCCTGTTCAACATTCAACACATTTTCCGCGTTTTCCCCATAGAGAGCTATAAAAAACTTTATTTTGTGGTCATATGTTTGCGAGACAATCTTTGGTGGGAGAAAACGCAAGACTCTGTTCGCAGATAGATTGGTCTGATTAATCGTATCTGTGGGACACCACGTAGAGCCAAACCCTTCATGATCTGGTGATAACTTGATGTCGCCTTGCCAAAACAGGGCCATTTCGCCTACTACGCGTCTGACAACAGCAATACATGCAGACAACAACAGCACAGCATATTGAAAGGAGTGAGCATACCGCAGACTGCCTACGGTACAACACCCGCTTTGACCGATGTCCAAAGCTCCATTGCTCGGGAGCAGCAGCGCTGGTAGTGCCGAAAATGGTGGAAGGCGATGGAATCGCCTCATCGAGAGCTTTCCGATGATGCACCATTCGTTGTGACATCCTCTTCGTCGTGGAGCAATCGGGCTTTGAGAATCGGGCAAGGGTGTGTGATATCTTCTGCATCTCACGGTACAAGTACGGCTATTGTGACGTGTGTTCAAGTGCCCGTTGGTTCAAAAAGTCCAACCGAAGAAGTTAAGGGCGCGGGGGGGATCGCAGTACCTCCTCTGAAAAATCCAGGAAACGCCTGCATATCTCGGTTTTCCAAAGTCTAACTCCAGTACGAAACTACCATCGGAAATTAACCGTCCGCAGCGGTCGCTTGTGTTCAATGTTAGTAGCTGAGGTTGTACCCCTTGCGATACACTACAGACTAGCGGTCCGCGATTTTCCGAACGATCCTTCTATCATCGAGTTCGGTGAGCTACAAGCTAGATTTTTGAAGCTGCTGTGCGGTCCAATTTTGAAACGCTTCAAGCACCTTTGCCTAAAGGCTGGACATGCATATGACATGACCCTAGGCATTCAAATCGACAATGGCGACCAGCTGGATATGTGAGGGAAGAGCTGCGCTGAAGTTCGCGGCCCCATACGCTCACATAGGCGGTGATTCGTGTTCACCGTGTGCTTGAAGCGTTTCAAAATTAGACCGCACAGCAGCTTCAAAAATCTAGCTTGTAGCTCACCGAACTCGATGATAGAAGGATCGTTTGGAAAATCGCGGACCGCTAGTCTGTAGTGTATCGCAAGGGGTACAACCTCAGCTACTAACATTGTACACAAGCGACCGCTGCGGACGGTTAATTTACGATGGTAGTTTCGTACTGGAGTTAGACTTTGGAAAACCGAGATATGCAGGCGTTTCCAGACGTTTCCTGTTTTTTTGAAGAGGAAGTACTGCGAACCCCCCCGCGCCCTTAAGCGTTTTCGGTTTTTTGAAAGTCCGCAAAAGAGGTCTGCCTGTAAACGGGGGAGCACTCCGGCGAGGAGCTACATACTTTTGTTTCAGTAGAAGGGGGCCCTCCATGTGGAAACCATGGAACACCCCTGACTTACGTGTCAATCTTGGTCGCGCGGGGGGGGGGGCTTATATGTCCCCGGGGGGGACATTTTGACCAAATCCCCAGGGTTTCGACAATTTTCGCGCGCGCGGGATCCGACACCGAGCTAGTGGGAATTATGGAACACCCCCAGGCTACGCGTCAATCTTCGTCGCGAGGAGGGGGGGGGGGTACATCGGATATACTAACGATACTAAAGCCTGTACAGTCAGTAAAAAGTATTTATATGTATGTGTTTTAGAATGCGGCACGAAAGCCTACACAATGAAGAGTATATCGGTTTTACTATGGACACACTAAACCCTATACAGTAGACTGCTGCAAGTGAGCCGCCTAAAGTGGCTATCCTGCATGTCAATCTTGGCCCGCAGTGTGCGTGTGCGGGTGGGGTGTTCCACGGTTTCTACATGGAGGGCCTCTCGTTCAGTACGGTAGGCCCATTCAAGCACACCAATTAAGCTGTGATTGGATGATGGTAGCAACCACCTTCCACCGCCGCTGTCAGCTGTTCCACGGCGGTTCAACTATAACAACCTCCCTTCTTTTGATGTGGTGTTCGAGGTTCGAGGAGGAAGTCTCGAGAAGATTAAGATTGTTCTTGGTCGAGACGATGGTGCTCAAAACGCGCGAACATACATATGTAGTCGATGCATACAATGTAGTTGATGCACAAAAAACAGCATGCCCCCCGAGAAAGCACATAGCTAAGGGGCGGTGCTGGGGACGGACACATGAAATCCCGTGTATGCCATACGATTACTTGCTGTAGGAAATACGCATCTCTTTGGCCCGTAACCCACAAGTCGCCATTCATCCCGCCATCTTGCCTACCTGGGCGCCCGCTGCGGCGGCGTCCCTGACAGCGCTCTCCGCAGTGGCAATGTTCGCCAACTTGTCGCTGCCGCAGAGAATCTGGCAAGCCGCCACCACAAACCGCCTTGACCCTGCCCCTGCTGTGGCTCCCTCCGAAGCACCAGAGGCACTCATCGAGCTCAACGGCCTCGAAAGCAACGATATGTTCCTGCTGATGCTGCAAGCAGCGTATGCTGTCCGTGTTGCACCAGCAGCAGTGTTTGTTCGAGCGTTGGCTAGTCTTGGAGAGCAAAACGCAGCGGTTGTGGACGTTTTCACCGCTAGAGAGAGCAAGATGGGGCTGGCTCTTCTCGCGGCGGCGAGGAACATCCACAATGCGATAGTCTTTCGGCCGGGAGGTGAGTGACGGAGAGACGGCGATGAAAGATTTTGCGTGCGTGCAGTGTGCTATTGACTGCCACCAACCGCAGCCGAGTTGTGTGCGAGAGTGTGCGAGTTGAACAAGCGATTGCACGCGTGAATGCACAGTGGGAGATCTGCGGCGAGATTGCAGCGACAAATTTCGGAGATCTGTATGATCGCTTGGGGAGAGTGCCGATGCTCCACGGGTGTTGTCGCCCCGAACACAGCGGCACACGGAGCTCACGGATAAAGCGGTTAGGCAGGCGGTGGCGAAGGTTGTGCATCCGCTCAGGAAAGGGATGCCGAGGCTGACGAAGGATGGGTCACTGTCGGACTCCGGGAAATGGGGAGACGCTTGGAAGGATCAATCCAAATGGCCTGGGGCGTACATGCGTCTGGAGGATTCGGGGATACGTGCTATGCGGTCCAAAGGGGATGGTGACTGGACGGCGGAGTCCAAGGAACTTGCGCGGATACACCACCTGGTGACCGGAACTGTCGTGTTCGTCATGCCTGAGGTGATTTGCACGAAACAGTAGTCGTAGTAGTCGGAAGAACATAGTTTTGTATGCCTGCACGTGCAGGCTTCTCTAGTCTCGACAGCAGTACGGCAGTAGTCGGGAGTACGACACAAGATAATACACCCACATGAGATAAGAGACACCCCCATAGAGTACAACCCGGTGATTTGTACGACCAAGTGTTGTCCCTGGGGTTTAGTAGGATTTCGAACGAGTACGCGGCTCCAACAGTCAAGGGACAGAGGTTCCAGCGACGTGTGTGTCGTGTGTGCAACGAACGTTCCTGCTGTATGAAGTATACAAGTACGATGATGAGAGCCTCGCCGTTGATGAATGAAAGCGCCCCCCAAAACCACGCATCTCTGCCTATCTGGGAATATGTGTCTAAGTATAATGTAAACAGCACTCGCGATGATTCTACATTTTGCTCCTTCCTACCGCTGAATGTTCAGGTTTTCGACAGACAAGCCCTATTGGCATCGAAAGAATTTCAAGTCATTCGGGGTGACCGGGTGGTTGGCGCACGGTTGATTTGCCCCACCTGCCGGAGCAACGCCCACACGAGTTGGGCTTCGTGGAGCGACGTGAGGACGAGTGTTGGCATTTCCCTGCTAGTTGCTGCTGTGCAATAGCAGACGTCGTAAGAATGTCTTGGTATTTCCCTGTGTGTTGCTGCTGTGCAAATATGGTGGGCATGTCTTCTGTGTATTGCTTTATTTTTACGCGGTGGGCGCATGCCAATCACCTGATGTTAAGGTGTTTCTGTTCGCGGCGTTTCTACATCTATCAGATCCGAGCGGTTCACAGCATGTCTGGCGAGAATTTGCTCATTTGCTCAGCCCGCCACCGATGCTTGGGGCCGGAGTGCCGAGCTGTAACGGACGCCACGATTGCAGCCATGAAACGGCGAGACGACGGTGGGGAGGCGAGGGTGCAAGCCAAGAAGAAGGGAGCGGATAGCGTGGACAGTGCACCCGACGCTGTGAAGGCGGCGTTACGCAGGGGTGATATCAAGTGGGAAGGATGTATGAGTCTTGTCAAGACTCTGCTCAAGGGAGGCGTGTCTTTCACGATTTCGGACCAGAGGTGTGATTCTCTCGTGCCGCATAAATTGGCCATTGATGGCAATGGGGCATCTCCCTTTCGGGCTATTGTTTGTCCAGCTGGTTGTTTATTACAATTCTCGCACGTGCCGTCAACATTCCTGACCGTTTCGATTGTTCCCGGTATCGCTGCTCTGTCGCCCACGAAGTTACATGAGACTTCTTCCGGCGGCTGTCCAAGCGAAGTACGACTTCGAGTGCTTCGGTAAGGGTGGCGCCGATCATGCCCTTCTCGACCTCACTGTGACAGGAGCGCAGCCTGTAGCGGCTTTGCACCGTCAAGCGAAGGAGGTACGCTAGGGGGTGTTTGTTGTGCCCTGAATACCTGCGGTCAAATAAATAATATCTTACAAGTGCAGAACGGAGAGTAGACCTATAAACTCGGCAAAACTAGGATCGGGGTTTATATTGAAAGTGCTTTCCCGATGCAACTCCAGATGCTACTCCAGAAAAAAAAATCATATGGTTTGCGTACAACGATGGCCTCTGCTTGGAGTTTCGGTTTTACTTTGCATTATGGTCTATTGATGTGTTATTCTTGCAGGCATACGACTTCAAGCAGAGACAGAGGCACACGTGCTGGAACGTGTTCGCAGCGATGCACAAGGGCTCAGGAGTGTTCCCGAAGTTGGGGGTGGTGGGGAGCGGCACCCTTCTATCTGGCCCCTCTCAGGCATACATGGAGACGTACTGCTCGAAGTCGTTCCAGGCGGTGAGGAACGCTTGGAAGGAGGGCTGTAGTTTTGAACAACTACGAGTGTTGGGTATGCTTGCACATGAGCTGAGAGTGCATCCACATCTAGAGCTAGGCCAAAACATGGGCTAAGCCTTTGCTGTTGATCGTTTGCATTTATTGTCCCCCTTGCTAGGTCAAGCCACTTCTGAAGAGAGAGCTTTGCAACCTCTCACCAGGGAAAGCGGTTTCGGTGGATGCTACGTTCAGGTTGGCGAAAATAGCCACTGGCGACGCCTCCTGCATCGTCTTCTTGCTGGGAGAGTTCGGCCACATCATTGGATGGGCCGCTCTACGGTCCGACAAGTGGAGCAACTTGTTGCCATTGCTTCATGCGTGAGTCATGCGATGCGATGTTGATGGGCGTGTAGACGCACCAAAGATCGGAGATATTTGAAGATGGACGCTAGCTTGTTGCGCTAACCTGGAGCGGCATCTCATTCTTTGCGGCGGTGACACACAGTTGAAAACGACGGCCTTAGATTCGAGACCCATAATTTTTCCTTTTTCCCCTGTTTTCACATCCTTTTACCAACGAACAGGCTGAGGGCACGTCTGGACCGGCTGGGGACACTGAACGATGTGGTGAAGGTGTTTGCGGACACCTGCTGCGAAGGGAAGAAGGACGTCACCGTTCACTTGTGTGTCGACATTTTCCCGAACGTGAAGAGGACTCCGTTCGCAGACCTGTTTCACAAGGTCCAGATTATTTCCACCCACACACTGAGTGCACACCCTCTCCACGCCGCACTATCCAGGTAAATCGAAAGCGGAAAAGGGGATAGATTTTCGACTGCATGGAAATGTTGCGATTCGTATCGTCTCGGTGATTGGTAAAGCTAACTGAGGTGTTGTAGTAGGGCACACACGACGGGTGCAATGACCCATCCACGGACGTCGATGGTAGCGACCAACGTAGGTCACGATTGCCCGTTTCACCCCCCTGCTCGCGTTCTTTCTTTGACGTCGCCGCTTGCTGTTTGTCAGGGAGGTCGGCACCTGCATCGCAGCGAAGCATGAGCCGGACGTCCACCGCGTGGCGGCCTACATCATCAACAACAGGGGCGTCAACGCAGAGGAGGCTATGGCTCTGGCTGGGAACAGCCACTACAGGAGATTCGTCCGTACGCGCACACCTCCCGACTGCGCCGCCCGACTGGGGGACGTTTACGAGAAGTACCTCAAGCTCAGCAACGAATGCGTGCAGAGGGGCGAGAGACCGCTATACCAGTGAGTGTGTGGTGTCGTTACGCAGTGATTTTGTTGTTGTTTACGTCGTCTATACTCAGTTGAGATTGGGCTAGCAATTTTGTTGTCGTAGTGTTGACCATTTTGCCGTGGACCTCGATTGCGCACCCCGAAACAACAGGGAGAAGCGAGGTGCGTCGCAGAGCACTCTCTCTGCTTTCCAGAACGTCATCGCTTGCGCTAATAAGGGTTGTTTCGCCATGGACGACGTCAAGGACTCGTACGTCTGCGACAGGATCGGCGAAAAGACTGAACTTGCCCACTTGAAGAAGCTCGGGGGCACCGGTGCAAACGAAGCGGCGCACAGGTAAACGGTTGTGGGTATCTACATTTATCCCATTTGTAGGGAAATGCTCAAGCAGCGGTAACAAGAATAACAACAATGATGGTAGGGTCTTTGAGAGTTCCTGATCACATGTTCAATAGTAGTACCAATTTCAAAAAATTGACGTGGGTATGCATACCCCGCCCCTCTACCGCCTTCCAGCCAGGCAAACGGAAGAATCGCGACGATAGCCTCAAGGATGAGTGAGGCGAGGTCTGAGCGCGAGATTTGGTTGTGGATTCACGAGCACAACCGCACCTGCGACGAGAACCGAGGTATAGCGAAGCCGGACTTCCTGAGAAACTACTGGGAAGAGGAGAAGATCAGGAGGCTGGCAGGGAACGTCGAGGGACCGTCCCCAAGAGGGAACCTGAGGATTCCACCGGAGGCAAGGCGCCGTAATACGTGTTGAATGGTACGCTTTCGGGAAACAGACTAGGGTTGAAACACAGTCAATGCACTCACGGTAGGTCGTCCCCGTCTGCAACCACCTGATTGTTGTCCGTTCCCGTATTCAACCTGATTTGTTCTTTCGCTAACCCAGTTGGAGGAAAAGGATATGGAGCTGATGGGGTACGACTACCTCTCTTTGGACCAAGACAAGGTTGCGAAGGAGGTTGCGGAGAAGTACCGGATGGACTGGAGTTCGATAAGTGCCGCCGCCTTACCAGCAGTGTCTGGGGAAGACCCCTTGCCAGGTTCGTTTTCTTTGCCGGCGGCGTTAGGAAAGAACCCAAAAACAACATCGAGTAGAGCACCATGTCCACGTACAAACTAGCGTTGTGTTTGCCCATGCTTTTGTCAGGGGAGAACAAGTTCGAACGTGAAGGAGAACAGACGCAAGTTAGGATTGCGCCTGCAACAAGTTCAGGTGTGGCGTCCATATCTTTTGGACGGCATGGGGGAAGAGGTTCCGAACGCATTGCCGGAGCTGGGGGCAATGTTAGGTCAGGTGCGGGCGGGATGGCGGTGACCGGGTTGGCACCTGCTGGAAGGGACAGCACCGCTGTGGGGGGAAGCGGAACAGGTGCCCCGAGAGCTACTACGACGGAAAGCGAAGCCTCTATGGGGGCGGGGAGCACCAGAGCAGGCTCTACCATGGCATCCGCAACAGCCCTTGGAAAGCGACCAGGTGCTTTTGATGGACGATAGGCATCTGTTTGAGACCGTCGCGTATAGCGTACAATGGCTTTCGATTCGGCATGCCCTCCCACCTGTGTTCCCTCCCTCCATTTTCCCTCCGTCTCGCCCCTCACGCCGCCACGCCTCACCATCGGCTCACGATTCGGCATGCCCTCCCACCTTCCTTCCCTTCATTTTCCCTCTGTTGCCCTCTTCCCTGACCACCACTGCAGCGGCTCGGACGGGCGGGACAGTTGGCGCAGGAGCGGCAGCAAGGGCGGCCTCCCCAGCAGATACTCGAGCTGGGCCGAGAGCGAGCGGGATGAGTTGGACCTCGAGAGATGACGCCGCACCTACGATGGGGCAGACGGCGGGCGTGAGGGAGGTGGCTGGACCGAGAGACGGGCAGGGGAGGGTAACCAAGTTCAGGAGGGCCTCCGCGTTGACTGATAAGTTTGCGATGCCTGCTACAGCGGACGACAAGAAGCTTGCATGCGCTGCCTTTGGGGCGGCGAAGGCGACAGGTCTGCGAGGCGAAGAGGTGTGGGAGGCTGCTGCCGCGGAATACAACAGCATGTTAGGCCAGGTCTTCCACACCATGGCAGCCACCGGTCAACCCAGCAAGTATAACTACAGCTTCAACCCCATCGATCGATCACACTTCAAGCGTTATTGGGAAGAGATGTCGGCTGCCTCCATATTACCGATGGCCGGTGCGGTGTTCGAGCGGTTGGGGGCGGGGGCGGGGGCGGCGGCGGGGACGGCGGCGGCGGCGGGGGCAGCGGCGGGGACGGCGGCGGCGGCGGGGACGGCGGCGCGGGCAGCGGCGGGGGCGGCGGCGGGGGCGGCGACGGGGGCGGCGACGGGCGTGGAGCACCGGAAGCTAACTGCTCATGAACATCGCACGTGGAGCGGTAACAAACTAAAGAAGGCTTGTCGGGAAAGGGGCATTACGGTCTCAAACTTGACACATCTTGACAAGGCGGCTCAGAAGTTGTCCGACGCCGGTTGGGTCGTCGGCGAGGGGGAGCTGGCAGAAGAACAAGTGGCATAGGGGTGGACTAGGAGTGCACGTTTGTTTTGGGGCGGCCGTCTTTGAGGTTGGGGTACTCCGTTTTATTGCAGGAGAGTGTGTGCAGGAGTCTCGTGTATGGATGAACCCGTTGTGTTTTTTGTGTACTTGAGGTTATCTGTTGTGCTGAGAGGGGGGTCTTCGTCCCTTTGTGCATGCTGCTACTTCTACATACAAAAGTAATTCTCCCATAATGTTCTTGGGTGGGACACTGCTGTGCCAGATACAGTATTGTAGTCTACATCATGTGAGAACATGATGTACTGCTGTAGATGGTATCATTGTGCACATGAGAAAACACAGAATCGGCGACGGCGGCCGTCTGCTGGCGGGAAGCGAACGTGTATAGAAAGAGAGCAGCAAAAATGCTGAGATGTACACACGCGCAGATTGACTTCGCGCTGAACGCTCTTCGGAGCAACAATTCGATAGGTATGACGTCTGATGTACGGCAGTGCTGCTGTAGTTGTAGCGTGAGCAGTGCGTTCGTTGTGTCCGTTGTGCAGACTCTTCGTCATACCACATATACATGCATATCACAGCCATCAAGGCGAATGTTACATGGATGGTCCGAGCGTGGATGCCACAGGGCTATAAGAGGAATCAACAACAGGCCACCACGCCGATACAAAAAAGCACTCGTCCTGCTGTGTGATGCACTGCTGCTGTGTGTATGCATACTACAGCAGTAGTTTGCCCCAGCCGCTAGCTGCGGGTAAGGATGCCTCGCTTAACAACCCAAGAATAGGTTGTTTGTCAGGTTCGTTGCTGTCGAAGAAAAAAACGCTGCTGTCTTCGCCGCTGTCAGTGTGGTGAAACAGAAACCGTGCAAAATGGCAGCTTGATTGTGCTTTGCGGGTGTAGGGTTCACCGCAGGACAGCTCTCTTCACCTTTAACGGCGCATGTGCACGCTCAAAGCAAAGAGAGACAGGTGTCCGAGAGAATTGGAATGTCAACGGAACAAGACCAACAGCAGTGCGTGGTGTACGAGAGGATTGCTGATGAGTCAACGGAACGACAGCGAAAGGCGCCATGCGTCTATCTACCTACAATAGAGTACGAAGGGCCAGCTTGGGTGCACTGGTTCATGTTGATATTTATGTTGTTGCGTTGTGTAGCCTACGCGCGAGGGTCAAGCCTTCCTGATCATTTCTTTCATCATACTCCCCCGTCACCGTCATCCGTCTTCCCCAGCAGCCGTCCGCAGCTTGCTTTCTTTCGTAGATTCACACGACTGGAACAGGCGTTCTACGGTGTTCCAGTCTGTTCGACGATGGAACGGTGGAACATTCCTTCCCACACAAAGAACAAGTATTTTTTTCCCCCAGCGAAGACGTACTCTCCCTCCCCGGGGGGACGGGGGATGGAGGGGCTGCGGGGCGGCGGGCCGACAAGGGCTGATGCGAGGCGGGGATATGCGGGTCACTAAACAACTCCTTCCTCCTGTTCCCTTCTATCTTCTCGTGGAGTAAGGTCCGACGCCGAGGGTTTCGTAGAGCTCTGCTTTCGCCCGAAAAAAACATTGGAACTCCAAATCTCCTTTCGATTACGTCACACACTTCTCCGGGGCAGAACGGCAGGACTAAACGAAGACGCCTTGCTGCTTGTCATACCAGTGGGTGACAAGCACGATGCTCGCCATGAAGGTAGCCTTGGCGGCAAGCTTCGTCGGCGTGGTGGTCGGACTCTGCCCCGCACCGAAGTCACTGCTGCGAACGCCGGAAAGAGGCGCCCTGCTGCTGCCCTCTAGGGACAATGGTATGCCCGCCGCAGCTGCACGAACATCCATCCGCATGGCGTCATCATCTCCTGCTGACGGGGGCGGCGATGAGCAGAGCACGGGGCCGTTCACGCGCAAGTCGCTCCTTGAGGGCGTGACGAAAGCTGCTGGAGTGCTCGGTGCGGGAACCTTCGTGCAGAAGGGCTTCGTCGCCGGCGTGCCGTATCACGGCAGCCCGGATCTGAGCGGCAAGGTGACGGGACAGAATATGATCGATCACTCACCACAGGACGGTTCATGTTTTTTTACTGCGGACAGTCCGGTCGGTTTAGTCAACCAAGGACGCTCGCTATGTAGGCCTGCTCTCTCTTTATCTCGATCTCGCTCCACCGCCAAGGACAAGCGCGTCTGACCCCGGCACCGCTGTTGTCCATTACCTGCATAAGTATAGCAGGGCGGGTGCGAACGATTTGATTGTCGGTTGTTGGGCCAGGTTCTCGCGTGAGGGTGTTCGGCAACAAAGTGTTCTTTGCTGACTCATCGTCGCCTGGATCTATCTGTGGATGGATCTCACACACCCGTTTGTTGGCAACTGGTCGAGAGCAGCAGTACAGAATTATGGCAGGTCGGCTGAAACCGCTTCGCGCGCCACGATGAGTCCTACACGAGTCAGCCGAGAGGACCCATCCGTTGGGTTGTAGATCATGCATCGCGTCGGCCCGTGAACGGTATTTTTAGACGAAAACATGCCGACTTGGTTTCAGCTAAAGGCAATACAACAGCGTGTTGCTGAGTGTCCGTGGTCGTGCGGCATGCGGCCTACACGTCGGAACTGCGGAATTTATCAAGCAGGTGCACTGCAGTACAGAGGTTTAGTCTAGCGATCCCCCATGTGTTGCCTGTGTGATCACATGTATGTAGACTATGTGGGTACACACCGCTCTCTCTGTAATTTGGCACACATATCTTACCACCTGCGAGCTTGAATAGAGTCGGCGCCGAAGCTACTGCTGTACATTTAGTATCGCCCACGGCCTGTGCTCGAGACGATACCGCTCAATTTGAATTCGGTCGGAGTAGAGTGAACAGATCCTGGTTGGTCCGTACGTACCTCTGCTCGTGTTGAAAAAGCAATGACTGATACGTCCGGAGCCATTTGTCTTCCCTCCACACCTACCGTACCATGCGCACAATGGACGAGGGAGTGCTTCAGCTTTGTTGCCCGGCTTGCAACGCCTTCCAAGTTTCCCGTCATGAGCGCACCCCCCCACCCCCTCTCGCCACGCCACTCACTTTCAACTCTACGCTCATGATGGTAAAAACCAACTTCAACTGGATTTTTTTTTTTTTTGTCTTCACTTCAAATCAGCGCTGACAGCAATACTGTAGTGCCGTTTACTCCAACCCGTGGTCACACAGAAGAGCCCAACTGGATGCAAGATGGTAACAAACACAACTTCCAACTGGATGCAAGATGAAATAATCCAACTTCCATCTGGATGCAAATGTTGATTATCGTCGATGTATATCATACAGACGGCGGTTATCACGGGAGGAAACACGGGGCTGGGCAAGGAGACCGCGGTGCGGCTAGCGCAGCTCGGGGCCGACGTGACGATCGCCTGCAGGAACCCGGACAAGGCCTTCGCGGCGCTGGATGACATCAAGGCTCAAGCCCCCGGGGCTAAGGTTAGTCCAGCCCTCGTATCGCGTGCTGCAGTACTTGATGCCTGATGTGAGGTGCGAAAAGAAAAGTTGCGATGTGAAAACGGACTTGAAAGAAAGGCGTTGGCGACAGTCAAAAGACAAGCGGGCTACGTACCAGTGGCTAAAAGGCCAAGAAGGGGCAGAAATCACCGTCCCGGTGTTCTCATCCAGCTTTCGCACGGCCTGGCTGGACACGCAACAGTGGACGGGCCACGATAGCCACGTATCTACTGCTGTACGGCTGTTGAACCGGACGACCATTCTGTAGGGGGTGTGCTATCACGTGTGGCCCGTGCGATAATCTGCACTCAAAGGACTCCAACCCGCATGCGCATGTGATAAAGATGGAGTGTGAAATGTCACCCATGTGACCAAGTGCGCGCACATGACCCTACCTACAGCGGTGTGATGACGAGGGAGGGTGTTAGGCACGGGGCGTGATAACGTTACGCGTATGCTATCATGAAGTCCTCCCTCCCACAAGACTCCACCCGTCAGGGGCGTGATAAAAGACGGGGTATGATACGATAATGTTACGCGTGTCATGAAGTGCCCACACACAGCACCAGCTACAGGGCTACAGGTAGTGCGGTATGTGCAATGACGCGCGCCGCTTCTGCGTGAATCGCGACGTAGAGTCGTATTTTCACTTGTGGAAGACCTGGTGGGAGGGGACCCTCCTGTCAAAAAACAAGAAATATTGTTTTCGACGTTTGCGCCGGTGCTGTGTGCAAAACCGAGCACAGCGCGCCCAAAACCTGAGCGAAAAGACGACCAAGCTTTCACCGTGTACGAAAAACAACACACAGTCTAAGCCGCGGTGCTTTCGGCAGTGTTGTGCGCTTCGTTCATCTCCGCTGTGTTGTCGGTCGCCATAGATCTAGCGCAGGCCTGCAAGCGCACGCAGGCCTGCGTGCGCTTGTGCGGGTGATCATGGCCTACCACAACGGTACGATATAGAGCTACGTGGATATGTTTTTATGGCTCAATGGAGGATGTGGTGTCTTCTGTGACCGTGCGATTTAGTAGTCTAACAATGTTTTCTGTACATTTTCGTTGGGGATGTGGTATCCTACGTCGCCTACGGTACGCCGCGTGTGGTCTCCGCTGCGAATCGTGCATGTGTGGGCATCGCCGTGGTTCTCGTCATCGCCGTGGTGTTCTGTTGACCTTGTTGTTGGCGATATCTCTGAACTCCGATACGGCATGCGACGCCGAGGGTGCGGTAAGAACCCCACGGGGTCAGAGGTTGGTGTCGTTGCCCCCTGAGTTATTCACCCTGCTTTCGTCAAAGACGATATTGATTATCAGGGTCACATACCTGTATTCCTGTAACATTCCTCCTAAACTCGGTACGGGAACGAAGGTCTATCTTGCCCCTCTTGTTGCCCTGGCCAACGTACACCTCTAGGTTGTTTGGTCATGAAGGGAGTCACGGGCTCGATGCATGTTGGGTGCAATATCTTGCCGTGACCCGGCCTGGTGAAACGGTGCACCCCGGCCTCCATAACCAATACAGTCTTCTCGGCATACGCTGCCGCTGTACTTGGTTTTCACACTTTTGCTCACCCCCAGAGCATGTGCTCGGGCTGTGCACAGCGGCGTGCCTTCTTTTTTGTATCAGCAGTTTGGGCTACTCTTAAGTTACACTTCGCTGTCTCTCCCCCGCTCTTCCCTTTTCTCCGGCAGGTCGGGGCGATGCCGTTGGACCTGGCATCCCTCGACAGCGTTGGATCCTTCGCCAAGCGGTACGCCTCCTCCTCCGACCGGCTGGACATCCTGGTCAACAACGCGGGCGTGATGGCCATCCCCGAGCGCCAGGCGACTAAGGACGGCTTCGAGATGCAGTTCGGAACCAACCACCTCGGTGAGCGTCGAACGACGAGACAAGAGTTTGTACATAGGTGGCAGTGCAAGAAAAACAAACACACTTATTTTGTGTAGGTGTGGCAGTACGCCGCGTGTGCCTTGTACCTATCTATTTTTTTCCTCCGCCCCGTGTGGGCCATTTTTGTTTGTTTGCAATGTGGAATGGCATACACGCCCGAAATGTGACTGGGGAGCGAGAAATTCGATTCCCCAAAGGAGCAGGAGGAAGTTCCGCTGCCCTTGATTTTTTTTTCCGGGCGACGAGCCAACCGGCACCGGTTGTGCCCCGCTCTCGCCCCCCTGTCTCCCATCACTCGCACACAAACCATGTATTCGACCGCTTTTCTTTTTTATGTAATAGTTCCTCATCGCATGGCTGTTCACGGCGGCAACACTGCCTTCTCCTCCCTCGCGTGAAGGGCACTTTCGACTCACGAGCCTGCTGATGCCGGCTCTGCTCAAGAGCCCGGACGCGCGGGTGGTCAACGTCGCGAGCTCGGCGCACCTGTTCGCGTCCTCGGTGGAGTGGGACGACCTCAACGCCCAGGCCCCCGGCGCTTACGCGCCCTGGAAGGCCTACGGTCTCAGCAAGCTCAGCAACATCTACTTCACCAAGGCCCTGCAGAGAAGAGTGGACAGCAAAGGAGGTGTGGGCTGCTTGCTGCCATGTGGAAGCAAAAGGAGTGGCTTGTTTGGCGGGCTGTTGGGGGAGTGGTACAATATGCTTCACGGAGTAGACGCCGAAAATTTTGGTCCCATGTAGTTTGTTAGCGCGCGCGCGGGTGTGCCACGAGCAGAACCGACGTTGGACCGCGGTCGGGCTATCTACTGCTGGCCATCGGGGCCTTAGGTACGTCGGGAGGCCTACGTAATACTGGTTTGTTTCTACGGCATGTTTTCAGGTCTGTCTTGGTATTGTTTGTTGAAACTGAACGCCGGGATATAGCATCCTCGCGTCGTTGCGTACTGCGCTTTGCGCACATGCTTTGCGTGTAATGATCCCCAATCCCCCCCCCTGAAGTGTAGTCCATGCCCGATGAGTCACCCGGGTCCGTTTTTTGTGGGGACCATGGCTGCGAAGAACAACGGGTGCGCCCCCTCCCCCGTCCCTCCGCCGCCACCCTGCAGGCTCCATCACAGCGACGACTTTGCACCCGGGAGCTTGCCGAACGGAACTAGGCCGGTATCTGTTCGACCCTTCCCAGCCGGCGAACCCTCTAGTCTACCCCGCTCTCGCCGCATTGACGCTGGTCACCAAATCTTCGAAGGAGGGTGCTCAGACACAGGTGCGACGTTCTCTCGACTGCCAGTTCGAGGTAACGGGGGCGCGTAGCAACCGTCCGGCTTCCTCCAGTATTATTGCGTCGGCATCGGGTTTGACGCACAGCAGTTTTTAGTGCTGCAAATGCTGCACTCAAGTCGCCGGATAGGGATAAGCCCCTCCTGTACTTCGTTAGTGTCGCAAATGTCTCGATGGTATGCCTCTCATGGCCTCCTGTTTGGTTTTCTTCTCCCCATGTCTGCCTGCCTGCCTCTCTGTCTCTCTCTCTCTCTCTCTATCTCTCTCTCTCTCTCTCTCTCTCTCTCTCTGCGTCTGTCTCTGTCTCTGTCTCTCTCTGTCTATCTATCTATCATTCCCCCTTTGATTTTTAGATCGCGTGCGCAGCGGATCCTGCCCTCGGCAAGGGGAGCTCCGCGGGGGGGACATACTTTGTCGGGCCTAAGATTTCCGAGTTGCCTTCGGAGTTGGCAAGAGATCCCGAAGCGGCGGAGCGGATGTGGGCAGCCAGCGAGAAGTTGGTTGGGAAGTTTTCTGTGTAAAATGCTTACGAACACAATCTCACAGAGACTACCCGCTCGGGACACTATCGAAGGGACGTGTTGAAGTCAGTAAACAAAGTGTTGAGAATAAAATGTGTAGTGTTGCGTTGTTCTAGCGAGAGATTCGTGTCGCTCGTGGATTTGTTTAGACATGGCTGCTGCTTGGGGGAGACAGGCTTATGAGAAATGGTGTGTGGTTGCCAAAGGGGCTTATTCTGGTGCGGTTACCAAGGAAGAGGAGGTGGTGCTACAGCCATGAAGAGGGTGCTTGGGTGTTGACTCAGATAGCCGGAGGGATGATGACGTGGACCCTTTTGGGCAGCCGGCCTGTTTTTTTCGGATGACAAAGAGCGCGCCGGTGGTGTGACTACAAGGATAGGTTAGGTGTGTGTTTTATCACCTGCGACAACGTCTTGCGTGATGAATGACCAAAGGCTCCCCGGTAGGCCGACGACCACACGCGTGTTCTGTGTGAATAGATTGCCGTTTGTCACTACTCCTCCTCCAGTGAATTTTTTGTGTAGTGTCTCGATATGATGGCGTCACGTATGGATAATAGAAACGAAGGTGCTGCTTCGTACGTACACGAGAATATCTAGTCTAATCGATGCCGGGCACTGGTTTTGTTGAAAACATGCGGTTTTTGACTCCTAGCAACCTACGGTGGGCACGCGTGTCACCACTCCTCCTTCAACCTCCCAACAGCGAGACATACGACATTGTCCTGTTAACATCTCGGCGGCGAGGCCAGCGCTTTCCAAGTCTCGCCCTCGAAAGACGGGAATACCCGGGTGAATGAAACGGGGCACGTGCTTTCATTTCACCATGTACGTCCTCCTTGTTTCCATCTTTGTTCCAAACCGTATGTAGGGTAAACACTTTTTCGCTCAGGCTCTGCTTGTTTGTTCCATGTCTGTTATTTACCATCTGAAGCACTGCCCGTTCTTCTACATATAGAGTGCGGGGCTAGGCAGGTGTTTTGCCAATGGCCCGAGAAGAGGGAAATAACCGTCGATCACGCCCGCGTCCTTCAGCCCAGATGGGGAAGCGCGCGATTCCGCACGCCACACGGGAGGGCGGCGCGATTATCTATCTCGGTGACTAGCGGGGGGGGGGGAATCAAGCTCAGAATCGTGCTGTCTCGAAAATAGTACAATCCCGGGTCTCACACCAAAAGACGCAGGTAGCCAACGGGAGAAGGTGTCGGTGTTCATAGTAGGGAGGGCGTGTTTCCGACAATAATAATCGTTTTTTCCTCTACCGTACACACCTCATCTCCCCAACCCTGCGACCCACATACTGATTGCTGCGGAGGGGCACGCTTTCGGGAACCCCACATTTGTCGGAGAGAGAGTAGAGAGAAGACTCAAGTGATCGGCTTGGAACAGCTGTTTCCTCATGGTGGTACGCGGATTGCTTTGCCGGCGAGCACCCACGCCGTGATGTTCCAACCAACTGAGAAATTGCGGAACAAATGCTGTTGCTGATGATGAACCCTTGCACGTACGACGTAAAAAGGGTAAATCCCGAGAGCGTTTCGTCACCTCCAGCCTTCAGGTAGCCATCAGCCCTTCGGATGCTCGACGCATCTTGATCCGCCAGTGCGAGTACATCGAAGAGCAAAAATGTGTGGAAATCATTCTTTCCGCGGGCAATTAACAGAAGGGTATCTCACTTGCCTGCCCCCATTCTCCGCCTCTACCGCCTCAAGGGAAGGCCGGTTAGGCGCCAACTTTTTCCTTCAAGAACCGGGAAAAAAAAAAAAATCACACCGGGACAAACGACAAACCACCACCACGGAGGAATACGTTGGGAATTCATAAGCAGGCAGGCGCACGGCATCATGCAGCCTCTCGTCGGGAGCAAAGACAAAGCATTATTCCGATCTGTCGTCACCAAGGACTTCTCTCTCAAGCGGTCCAGTTACCCACCAAGACAGAATTGATCGAAAGCTTTCATTTCTCCACGGACGCAATCCCATCTCCCAGGCCGTGGACACCAACCAGTACATGGTTCATTCACCAGCCGCAAAACGGCGCTCCACCCCCTGCCCTACAATCACCACCTTCACCAAGAAACACGCAGACTCTCCCCAAGAAAGGTGTCACTTTCATCTCGTACATCATACACGGCAATTCAAGATGCTTCGGAACACATTACCACTGAATAACTCCATCCCCCCCCCCCCCCTCCAACTGAACCTCACACCCAGAAAGTGGTATCCATCTTCCCGGGGTAAATAAAAAGTATTGCTTCTGCGTAGCCTCCATCACCGGACTTCACCGGGCCCGCGTACCGAAGGGAGGCACGTCAAGAGAGAGACTTTGTCGAGACGAAAAAAGAGGCGCGGCGGAAATAACGGGCGCGCGGCTGCTGCCTTTTCAAGACCCGCCGCTTCCGCCCTGCGAGACGAACAACAACAAAAAAAAACAGCAGCAGCCGCAGCAGTCGCAGCAGAGAACGGGAGAGGAAATTCAGTAGGAGATTCACTCGCGAACACAGCGGTTGCCTACGCCTACCAAGGTTGACTGACTCGGTTTGCAGTGCCTGGCGGGCTATTTGAATTTTCGAGGGCGCGAGTAGCAGGTCCTGCTTCAGAACCAGCACCTCCCTGCATGGTACGTTAAGTTCACATCTTGCTCGAACATTATATTCGCCGTGGAAGAGAAGCGCGTCTCGCTTTCGCCCCAAGACGCCAATATCCTGTTGGGCAGTCGGAGGGAGGGCTTGGCAAGGCACAACGGCGGCGCCGCTCTCTCGTGTTGCCCTCGCCGCCATTTCGTGTGAATGCGTGCGATAACGCTGCGCATGATTCGATCGCTTCACAAGTCGCCTCACAACTCGACATGCCAGTCAGTCGCTAAAAAACAGGCATTGTTTGCCCTGCGCACGCCCCCCGCCGTCGGTGCGTATGCGACAAACAACAAATGACTCTTTATCTCGGTCGCTCACCCTGTGTTTTCTGTTGGCGCTGTTTTGTCTCGACAAGCCCCCCCTGCCCCCCCTGCCGCCTCCGCGCCCTCTTCGTGAGTGGCCGCCTCCCGAGTCGTCGCCGTGTCCATCCCTGCCATGCAATGATAGACGCGCGCGTACAAAAAGAAACAAAAAAAAAAGAGGTTTGGAACCGATAAGAGCAAAAGCGGAGGATGGAAGAGGGGGGCAATGCGAGCACACGAGCAACAAAAAGGCTGAAGGAAAGTAGCTCAAGAGGGAGAAAACAACTTGGACAGGAAGCTTAAGGGAGGGGAGGGGGGGGGCGGAACAAGGAGAAAACAAACGCGCGTCAGATCCGACGCTCCAAAATCGTGGAAATCTCGAGTGAACTCAACCAAGGCGCGGCACGAAATGAAGCAACAACATGTGCCACAACGTTTCGGCAACTGAACAGCCAAGCACGACAATCGGCAACCACCGTAAAACAGCAAACACATGCGTATAGAACAGAGAACAACAAACTCGGCCAGCGCAGAGGCGGAGCAAACAAACACACAGATATCATACCTACGTTCAAGACGTTCTCATTAACCAGCGCCCGAAGAGCAAAAAAAAAAAAAGAAACACAGAACGACGAAAGGCGAACACACACCCCTCGAGGCAAGCCGGCGCCAAACCACCCACCCAAACCCACAACCTACGCATACATATCACAAAAACAAATTGCTCTCCGTCCCCCAAATTGTCAACCACCCAGCTCACCCCCCGTGCTCGTGCGGACCTCCCCCGCCCGGTCCCATTCCCCCGGCCCCGGGCCGCATGCCGCCCATTCCGCCCGCGTTTCCCGGTCTCTGCGGCTGAGGAGGCGTCTGTGGGGGGCCGGGGTGGGGGGGCGGGGGAGCCCCGCCCGCCCCGGGGTGTCCCGGCATCATCGGGAAACCTCTCTGCTGCTGTTGCGGCTGCGGCTGCGGCTGCTGCTGCTGCTGCTGCTGCTGTTGGCCTTGCGGCACCGGGATCTGTGGTGGCGGCAGCTGAAGCTGCGGCTGTCCCGGTTGCTGCTGCTGCGGCTGCTGCTGCTGCTGCTGCTGCTGGGCCATCTGAGGGCGGAGGGTAGAAACGGGCGGAAAAAACCGCGTCAAGTGAAGGGAGTCGTGGCTTTCAGCACCCGGGCACACGTCAGGCACGCAATATTACACCTCGTGCTTTCGTACAAATTACCCCAAACGATCCAATAACATGGGTGTTAGCGTGCACGCGGGCGCTCTCATCCATCCCCGTGTCCTTCGTACAGCAATACCGCACCAGGTACTTCCTTTTACAATCCCCTTCTCCGGTGCACAACGTTGCCCGTCAGGCCTCAGCTTGCCACAACGCGGCTACTAACACATATGTCGTGAATACGAACAACCCTCCTTCACACTCAAAACACAAGCACTGCGGCACGTTGTGGAAACAGCGTTATGGCCATGTTTCATCTACAACAACCCCCACAAAACTTAACACACCTGCATCTGGCCGTGATAGAAGGGAGAACCCGGGGGGGGCACCGCCCCCCCCGGCTGGCCCACGACCTGAATCCCCTGCGGCGGAAAGCCTTGGATCTGCCCCGGAGCCATCGGCATGCGAGGCGGTTGCATGAACATCTGGATTTTCAGGGGCAAAGGAGGGGGGATAAACCACGATCCAGAGGTTGCGGGCAGGCGGGAGTGGGGGGAGGTTGGTCACCACATAACCAGCCAGCGCGATGGACATCTAACACGACAAGGCCACGGTCGCTTGACACCCTTCCGCGCACGCGTCTGCTGGGCTGCGAGGGGCCTACCAAACCAATTGGGGACGTTCACCACATACGGCACTACCCCCGTCCATCCCGTACAGCTCGACAGGCGGCTCAGCGGCGTTCGCAAAAGAGACCTGGCACAACTTTCCATCTTTCAAACAACCTACACGCTTCCCTCCCACCCACCCACCCACCCCCCAGCTGACCAACACACACACCTGCGGAGGCTGCCCCATCGCCGCCCGATACATGGGCTGTGGGAACTGCTGAGGCGGCATGGGTCCCCGCGCCCCCGCCATTACGTGCGGCGGCACAACGCCTGCCATGTGGTGCGGGGTCATCGCGTTGTTGCCCCCCGCCGCCGCCGCCGCCGCCGCTGCTGCCGCCGCCGCCGCTGCCGCCACCATCTGCTGCTGCTGCGCCTGCAAAGGCCCCGGCGGGAAAGTGGGGACGACCATCTGCGCGCCCCCCGGTCCGACTGCCGGAGGGCCCGTGACTCCCTGCGGGACGGGGGGGGGCATCGCCTGCTGTTGCGGCGTCGAAGGGTGTTGCTGAGGCGTGGACGGGTGTTGTTGGGGCTGCTGCTGCTGCTGTTGCTGCTGCTGCTGCGCCTGCGGCTGCTGCTGCTGCTGGGAGCGGGCTTGGTGGGTCTGTTGCTGCGCCTGCGGCTGCTGCTGCTGCTGCTGCTGTTGCTGTGCGTGGTGCGACGGGTGTGGCGGCTGCTGCTGCTGTTGCGGCTGCTGCTGCTGCTGCGGTGGCGGCTGTTGGCGGTGGGGAGATTGCTGCTGGGGAGGATGCTGCAGAGAGCTGTTCTGCGGGGAGCCCTGCTGAGAGCCATGGTGGTGCTGGTGAGGCTGGTGAGGGGGGTGCGGGTGCTGCTGCGGCGGGTGGTGGTGCTGTTGGTGCGGCTGCTGCTGCTGCTGCTGAGGGTGCGCGTGCGGTTGTTGATGGGGGTGTGCATGACTACCAACACCGCCACCCCCCCCACCACCCCCGCTTCCATGCTGGAATTGTTGGGGGTGGTGGTGCTGTTGCTGCTGCTGCTGCTGCTGGGGCGGCTGCTGCTGCTGCTGCTGATGCGGCACGTGCTGAGGGTGGTTGAACTGGTGATGGTGTAGCTGCTGTTGCTGATGAGGCTGGTGGTGGTGATTGTGGTGGTGCTGCTGCTGATGCATGTGGCCGTGCTCATCGGCATTGTGGCCACCGCCTCCGTAACCCTGCAGGGCACGACGCAGAGGAGGTAAGGTAAGAAACTCGCGAACAAAACAGCGGTACTTCGAAAGGCGAATGGTCGTATTCCCCCGACACAAGAGCTAACAGTACGAAAATCCATTGTAATCGCGCCAAAATTCCAAAAATTTCAAATGTTGAAACTTCCGCAAACATCCTAGTCCGATGCTGGTGACATGGGAGTGCGAAAAAGGGGCCGACAAACCAGGCCGCTGTCATCACGGCACAGACAGTACCGCAGGCAGACACAGAGCATGCGGCATAATCAAAACAGTGACGCAGACAGAGCACATGACACAAACAAAAGAGCCGGAAAATATTTAGGTGGGCATGTACGCTTCTCAACGTTGCTGCAGATCTAGAACCCTGCCCTAGCAACTCTCTGCCGCAAACCATTCAACCGGACATCGGCCGACGAAAAACCCGCTTTCGCGAGATAACCGCATTCGGTTATGCTAACGGAGCCAGCACAGCACACCCACCAACGATCCACCGGACATGGCGCCCCTGCCTCCGGTCCCGAACCCCCCCCCCCCGGGCCCTCGGGGCGACGGGCTCGCGATGCTAACCGCAGTAGGCGTCATCACCTGCGGCGTGGACACCGCCGCCGCGGCAACGACAACCGGGGACGCGGAGGCAGCAGCCACGGGAGCGGCCGCCGCCGGCGCTCCCCCCGGAGGCTTCCACTCCTTGGCCGTCGGGTTCGGCTTCCACTCCTTCGCGCTGGCTCGCAAGGCCGATTTCTTCTTCTCCGCCGCCGCGTCCGCCGCGGCGCTCCCGCCGCTGCCGCCGCCGCCGCCCCCGGCGGAGGAGGACGGAGAAGGCAGCGGCGGCTTCGCCGCCGCCATGGCCGCCTTGGCCGACGCGGGGACGAACGCCGGCGCGTTACTGGAAACCCTCAAGACAGACCCGCTGCCGCCGCTGCTGCTGCCAGTCGTCGTCGCGGCACGAGGAGAACCGCTGCCGCCGCCTGCCGCTCTTGTAGCTACTGGCGAGGGCTGCGGCGTCGCGGCTGCTGCCGCCACCGGCGCCGCCTTCGGAGAGGGCGGCACGGGGGTAGTCCTGGGCTTGGCAGCGGCAGGCGGTCGCCCCGCAGCAGCGGTCGGAGTGGTGGCGGCGGTAGCGGTGGCCGCTGCCGCCGCCGGAGCGGCCGCACTCGGACCGTTTTCGCCCTTGGGCGGAGGCGTCGACCTGGACAAAAATTTAATTCGGCAGTATTTATTGCGGTAACATGGTGGTGGAGTAGATTATGTTGTGCGGGGTCGAGAACCCTCACTCCGCGCAAAGGGGATAATCGCACCACGTTGTGTTAAAATGGCCGAGCACCCGCCAGGAGTTACACAACAGTGCTTATACCGGTCCCTGGAAGCGAACGCACCAGAAAATAAATCAAGTCATTCGCAGCTGTCATCCGTTGCAAGGAAGTAAGCACAAGATGCCGAACCCCCATGGCAGGATGCAGCGCACCCTCCAAGCGACTCGCCGAATACCTCACGGCGCTTCGCGCTTGGTGATGTGAGAGCCTGGTCCGGTGAGAACCCGGCGTACTCCGTCCCGGCTTTGTAGGGCTGCGAGGTGTCAATTGTCAAACGACTACGGCATGCACGA